ATGCATCTACCTACCACTTCAGCATTTTATTAAAAATAATAATAATAATAATAATAAGGGAGAAATGTGGGATTCACATGTAAATCAAGTATAAAAATCAAACGAATATTCATATCTGACCTGATTGTTTATAGTTCATAATGCGTGATCAAAACTGAAAGTTTCTGTGATGACTGCCCTTGTACTGCTCACCATGTAACTTATTCACTATGTAAGAACTCGTTCACCATGTAAGAACTTGTTCGTTATGCTTCAGAAGATTGGAGACTGACAAGAATTAGGCTTGGGGTGGATTAATGATTGTGCATTGAGTCCCCTGTACAGAATTTTATTGTTGTTAACTGTTAACAACCATTTGATCAATAAATATGAGAGATGCCCTCTTAAAAAAAAAAAATGCAAGGGGATATATATACTTTCAGATAGTACATCGGCAAAAAAAATGTCAACACCACCACTGCAGCCTCCACACAAGACCCTGTCAGGGTGTAGCCCAGCCAGTCCCTGTATTCTGTGCTCAACAGAGCTCTAGTCACCTCTGCGCCACTCCTTGTTCTGGGCTGCCCCCTGTCGCAGCAGGAGCTGGGTCTTATCTCTGCTTGGAAGACAGCAGGTACTCAGGGTGTTTGCTAGTTTAGTTTAGTTCCTGTCCCAGAAAGAGTGAAGGCAGCAAAGAAAAGAAAAAGTCCAGAAAGCATCTCTATGGCCCAGAAAAGGAAGAGCATTGCTCTTGGGAAACACTGGGCATAAAATTCTAAGAATTCCAAGCAATTTCTTTAAGGAATTACAGGATTCACTGCAACCCTTCAGTGAGTATCAGAGGAGTCAAATAGGAAGGTCCCTGGAGCTAAATGCAGAAGTGGGGGAAGGAAGACAGTTATATTCCAGCCTGTGAAAATTCTATCAAGGCAGGTGCAGAATCCTCTCCTATCACTTACAATGCCAATCTCCAGCTACCTACAACTGTAATTACTTGTGACCAAACCAATTCCTAAAAATTTCAACACTGCTTGTATCTTACTTAAAAAAAAGTTACACTGAACTCATTTCCATGAAAAATATAAGGCTACATTATAACTTTTAAAATGATCTGAAAGCCCTAATAATGTAACAGAATGTGACTTGGGGGAGACAAGGTAGTTAATGAAGTTCTGAGTGAGTGGCACTCAAGCTGAGACACGCCAGATGAGAAGGAACCAAGCAGGCATGAAAGGCCAGGAGGCAGTGTCCTAGACAGAGGGAACAAGTGCAAGGGTCCTGAAGCGAAAAGGCAGCCAGGAAAGCTAGAAAAAAATTAACAGGCTGGAGATACCAGGCATCAAGGGCCAGGCTGTTATATTCCTTCAAAAGGCGCATTTATTCCTTCACAGGAGACCCCAGGCTCAGAGAATCAGATGAAAGCTGATGAGGCAACACAAGGACAGTGTGGGCTCCCAGAACTAAACAGGGCAGTCACCCAGAGGACCAAAGAGCAAGACAGTAGAGAAAACTAGGACACTAGTCAACAACACAAGCTGTGGGAAGGGTTGGGATCAAGCAGAAAGGGGCAGGAGCAGGTTCTGCCCCAAGCTGTGACCCAGCCCAAAATAATTCTCCTCTCACCTCTTCCCTGACCTACACTTCCTCGCCATGGAATCTGTGTAGCGACCGAACTTGGCTACTGCTCACGTTTGACATGACAGTGACACTGGAAGCTGCCTGACCTCTGCGGCAAAGGTCACAGAAATTTAGAACTGCCCACAAGTCCAGCCCCTCTATATCACTGATGACAAGACACTCAAACAGAAACTGAGGGAGATCTGCAAGAATTTCTAAGGTGTAAGGTTCCTACCCTGTCCAGGGGGAGGGAGTCAAATGTAGTGAGTGAACTGCTAGGCTTGGAGATCAGACAGATCAGTCTAATTACTGTTTATGCCATTCACTGTTAACTCTGCATGAGGACGGCCATCTATCTCAAACAGCTTGTTTAAGAATTAAATGCATTAAGGCATTTTAAGGATGCCTAACACACGCACAATGCCCAGTAAAGACCTGTTTATTCCATTTATTCCACTATTGGGAAGATTCAATTCAGAGAGTCTGACAGCCCCACTGCTTATAGGCCATGTGACTTTGCCTAAGGCACTTTCAATTCTGGGCCTTACCTTTTTGGTTAGTTAATGGAGATAACACCGCTTACTTCATCTGGCTTTTGAAGGAACTAAGTGAAAAGGCTGTAAAGCGTCAAGCACAGTTCCTCACACATAGTAACTTCAATAGCCATTGTTATTACTGGGGGTTGTGAGCAAGATGGGGAAGGGGAAGGGGAGGGGGAAAGACGGGGTGGGGAACCAAGATCTCAGGTCCGGGCTGCTACGGAGGCTGGTAGCAGTGGTTTACTTAAGGGTATGCCTAGCTTCTTGGGAGCCACTCACCTGGTGGTTCCAGATAGAGCCCTCTTTGCTGCGCTCGTCAGGGGTCAGACGCACGTACTGGCTCGTGAGTATAGTGCTGCCTTGGAAGTCCCAGAGGGGCATGGAGCTGGAACCGACCCCTGTGGGCAGAGACCGGCACAGACAGGAGCGTAAGAGGCCATGCCAGGACTGGCACTGCCATAGGCAGAAAACCCACAGGAGAAAGGGAACTCCCTTTCTCAACTCTATACAGCCTCGCCCTCTCCCCGCACTCATTCCCGCCCCTGGCCTCACCTTGGTAGGGCTTGATAAGCGAATGCTCCCTCTTGAGGTGTTCACTGTTGCCATCAGTTATATCCGCAGCCACCAGCCCCAGCAATAGGAGAAGAAGAAACAGAAGTGTAATGGGGCCAGGGCCGGGGCCGGTAAGCCCAGACCTTCCCGGGCACTGCCGGCCCCAGCCCCAGCGCCAATTCCAGCCTCGCATCGCCATTCTCCGTCCCTCTGGGCCACTTCCGTCCTAAGACTTCCGCCTTCCGGGTGTCCCATCTAATGGCCTCCGACCGGAAACCCTTCAACCCTAGGGTCACAAGGGAGTTAAAAAGCAAACCCTTGCAGCCGCGGGGACGGCGGCTTTATATGCTGAGCAGCCTCCTATCCTAGCCCAGCACAGTTCCATCTCAGCGACCCCGAGGCACTTGCAAGCCAGCCTCAGCAATGGGTTCTTACGAGCGACAAGAGCTGCAACCAATCATGGAACAGCACGTTAGGCCTGTGAACCAATGGGAAACAGAGAGATGGTTTGAATCAAGGGCAGCGCAAGGGTAGTCTCTGTAAAGAGGAGTGCTCGAACTTGTAGTTTTTGTGGGCTTACCGCGCGGGCTGGACAGACGAACACTACTACCACGCACGTAGCGAGCTGCCACTGATCGTGTGTGTGTGTGGAGTAACCTTACCCATTCAGGGGATAAGGACCTCTAAGTTGAAGGCGGAGGCCTGAATTCTAACTCCGCCAACACCTCGAATTTACTGGGTGACCTTGGGCTAGTCTTTCTTAAGTGGTTTCCAGCCAGAACCGTCCAGGCTAGTCTCCACGCCTATGGAGACGTAGAATTTCCAGCTATTCGAGGGCGTTCACTAGCACCATCTCCTCTGACCCTGTCGAGTTTTAGCAGGAGAAGCAGAACCGAATCTTGACTGAGCCCCCGGTGATGTTTGGGACCCATTCAATCAAAGCCATTGTAGGGCACACCTGGTATGGCTGGAAGCACCAGTAAGAGATCCAAGAAAGCTGACTGTAGACCCAGAGGTAGAAAACTGGTGGCCTGTAGCCAAATAGAGCTCTGTTTTATCTGCTCGTGCTATTTAAATAAATGATTAATTATCTATAGTTTTAAATCGAGAGACTTAAACATGAGAAATTCAAATTTCCTGTTTTCTCTTGAAAAATACAGAAATTCAACTGCACTAGGCCCATGAGGCACTATCAATGCCTTCCTCTTCTAGTTTCCACCCTGGCCACTAATTTACAGCATCTTCCTCACCATATGAATTAATGACCCCTGTTACAGATCATAGAGTGACACTGAAGTAGGCCAGAGACAGGAGACATCATGATTAATTTTTCCTGCCTATGATGAAAAATGCTGAGATATAAATAGTATAGTAAGAACAGGAGACACTCCATCTTAAGGCTAAGATTCCATTTTAAAAACCAGAATTAGGAGGTAAGATTCCTAAAACATTCTTTAGTGATCAGACAATAACCTACCCTATCTTAAGGCAAGGCAAGCACTCTTAACTAATATGTTACCAGTGGCTCAGGGAAACTACTATCTTAGAGAGGGACTGGATCAATAAATTCCTTGTGTTAAGTTTATCTTAAAGAATCATCTAGAGGGCTGACTGTGGATAGTGACATAATGTCTCTCATCGGAGAGAGATATCATGAGACCACAAGTCAAGCCTACACCCAATAACCCCCACTCCCTGCCACCCTTGCCCCATTCTTGAAAGCCTTAAAAGACAAAATCCTAAGCCCTTAAGTGTGCCTCCTCTCTGAGGTTGCCCTCACTCCTCTTTCTTCAAGTGTGTACTTTTTGCCTTTAAAAACTGCTCACTGCTCAACTTACTGTGTTTTTGTCTCTGCACTCCTGCAGTAGTGTCTTTGTCACTTTGCTGTTACATTCTGTTTTCCAAGCTTAAGCACGAGTCTTCATTTTGTCTGTACTCTACTTCAGATAAGTAGAGAGGAGCTATGGGGAGCTCCAGTTTAGGCTTGCAAGTTTCTGTTGCCTGGGTGACCTGGACAAGACTGCAGCTATATGATCATGCTCTTTAGTAGTCTACCCAAAAATCTCCTTTCTTTGCCCTTGAGAAGTTCTCAGAACATAGTGTCACCCAATCTAGTGCTCTGCGGCTCCCCTAAATCCTAAGGTAGTAGGGACTTAGTTCTCACATCATGCAGATCGAAGCAGATGCTGGACAGCAGGTGACCCTGGCTTTCGAAGTTCACGAGATTTGCCCTATGCCAAACAGGAGTTCAACAAGCTTCCTTTCTCTTTCTCTTGCTCTCTGCTGCCTGCAAGGCAGCTGCCATTCCCTGTCATTCTCACTTTAATGAATTCCTTCCTTACCTACACTCATCTAACCTGCTCAAAAATTATATCTCGTTCAGAATCAAGAATACTCTCCTATCCAGGTTGAAGTTTTCCTAGTGTTTCACCTAGTATGCAGAGAGAAACGTCCCCAGACACAGCTGCCTGGCAACAGGATCACTGGTTAGTTGCCCCTTTAAGAAGTTGTCCTTTTGCATGAGTGAACTTACTCAGGATTAAGTGCTGAGACATCTTTTATGGTCGCATATTTTTAATTAGCTTTTTTGATATTAAAGTAATATGTTGATATATGTGGTACAGACATATGTGTAATAGCAAAAGTCCTCTGCCACCACCCTCCCAAGGGGTATATTCTTCCAGAATTTTATCTATACAAACAAGGATATGTACATTTCACTAGACCTCCCAGAAGGCTGGGATTTTTGTCAGCTATGGTCACTACTGAATCCCCAGCATCTAGACTAGTACTTGGCAGAGAGGAGGTGATTAATAAGTAACTGGTTTTTTAAAAATGTCATAGGTAAAAAAACATATTTGTTCTCGAACCTGGAATCAGGTCATGATGAATGAGTAGGAGTTTACCAGAAAGGGGAAAGGCATTCTCAGCAGAGGGAAGAGGAAAGGCAAAGGCCAGGAGGGATGCTGGAAAGCATAAGAAATGCAAGCAGTTTGAACTGGCTGAGGTGTGGCTGAAGCCAAAACTTGAAGGGCCTTCAATTCCAAATTGAAGAACACAGTCTTTTTACAGGAAGCAACAGGATGGTTTTAAGCATAGGGGTGGCCAAGGTGGGTTCTAAGGGTATGGTGAAGAGAATTGAGTTGAGGGGATAACAGGTAGAGAGACTGAATAGATCATTATAACCAAATGAGAAAGGGCAAGGCCTGAGCCATGGAGGTCTCCACAGGGAAGGGGATCAGAGGTCCCACAGTGAGTCTATATATCAGTAATTGATCCCCTGTGGGAAGCCAGGGAGAGATAAGTAGAGAACAGTTCTCTGTGGGGTAGAGGTACCCCACCACTCTTAAGGAGTGGAGAAAACTAGATAAGGGCTATGAGATGGGAAGTCCCAAGGTTGGCTGGGGTCCCTTGGTTGAAGATGTGGTCAGAGCTAAAATTGGCATCCATAATAGAGAGGTGAAGAGAAGCATCATTGCCGTAGTAGGAGAGGATGACCCTAGAAGGGGTCCCAGGCAGAGCCTGTGACTGGTCCTCTGCAGCAGGAAGATGAGCTGTTGGCACCTGGGCTGGTGTGGCCCAGGCCCAGCTCCTGGAACCCCAAGCACACATATTCAAAGCTTGATAGATCCCTAACTTGATGTGTAACCTTGGGCAACTCACTTCTCTCTAAGTTTCCTGACCTGGAAAATGGGAATAATGAACACTACTCACAAAGATGATTAGAGGATCAAATGAGGTCATATTGGGAGAAGACCTACAAACTGTAAAGTCCCCTATGAAGCCTAGGCCTGCACTGACCACACAACAGAAGGCAGGCAGTCTCCACTCACATCACACACACTACAATCCCCTCCCAAGTTCATTGACACTGACATGTACCTTATTAAGACCACCTTTGGCAATGCTCCAGGCCCAAAAGCAACCCCAAAAAACATACCAAATCTGGCTGAATCCCTCTGTCTGGGTGTCCTGGATTAAGATATCTGGAAATAGGTGAGTTGGTGCTGGGTGAAGAAGTATGTTAAGGAGGGTAACACTAGCTGCTATAACAAATATGTATAAAGGCTCAATGTTTATTTCTTGCAGTGATCCTAGTTAATGGGTGGCTTGCCTTTATATACTAACAAGAAGACCCAAGCTCCTTCCTTCTGTGTTTCCACTATCTATCATCTTCTGCACCCAGCCAGCTAAAGGGGAAGGAGAGAATGTGGATGACACATACTACTTAAAAGCCTTGGCCCAGAAATGGCAATATCATTCCACTCACATTCAACTGGCAGGACCAGTCACATGGACACATCTGACTGCAAGCAAACCTGGGAAATTAAAGTTTAGCCATGTGCCTGGGAAGAAGAGGACATGAATTCGTGGTGAATAGTCATTCAGTTCCTGCCTTTGAAGGGTTCAGGTCATAGCTCTAGAGGTACAATATGGAGAGGGGAGTCACCTTGTCTCTGTAAACAGAAGGGCCCCAACCAGAATGATGGTTTAGAGTTCTAGCCCATGTGTAGAGTAAAATACAAGTCCTTGTGGGTACAGCCATGTGTTAAAAAGAGGACTCTAACTAAAGGGCCTGAGTTCATCTGGCACTGGGCCAGGACAGAGAGTGAAGGGTGTCACTCTTCACTCAACATACACCAAGGGGGTGTTTTTATGTGAGTGAGTGTGAAGGCACCTGTCACATGCACCTGTCTAAGGGATGGTACATACATGTGACTGAGCCCCCAGGTGCTCCTCATGAGAGAGAGCCTGTGTGTTTATAACATACACACCTGAAAGGTCCGTGTGTGTGACCACACATGCAAGGTGTCCATCTGTCTGTACACCCAGGCACATCCCTGGGAAGTGTCTGGGAATAAAGGGAATTAACAACTGCCTGGGGGAGGAGTGCTTGATATGCACACACCCAGCACACAGCAGGTGTGGGATAAGTGTGTGCTGCTGAGTAAAGTGAATGTGTGGATATTGGTGCATGTGTACATGTGTCTGAGGGAGCCCTGCCAGGGTGTCCAAAAGCGCCTAAGTGTATGAGCGTGCATTTCTGTGTGCTCAGATGGACCTTGGAGCTCCCAGCTGGGCCAGATCAGTCTAGGCTCCTCGCCGGGTCCACAGAGGCCTCTCTGCTTGTTGGTGTCTGCGTGGGGCACTGCCAAGGGTGCACTGATGGCGCGTGTGTTTGCTTGTGAATGTGTGTGTGTGTGTGTGTAGGAAGAGGCGTTCGCTCTCTTAGACCTTGCTTTTTTCTGTGGTTCGGTTTCTATAGAGACACTTCCTGTGGCAGAGAAAAGAGGTAGTGAGCTGGTGTTTCAGGATGTGAGGGCCCGCAGGAGCTGAGCCGGGCTCTCTCAACTACTGCCTGCCGCCGTGCAAGCTCTGGCCAGCGCTGCCCACAGTCCCCATGGTGGGCGCCTCTCCCGGCCGGGACCTGTGAACAGCAGCGGCATGCCAGGGAAGCCCAAGCACCTGGGCGTCCCCAACGGGCGCATGGTGAGTGTGGGCTCCAGCCCAGGCCCACGGGGAGAGGGTGGGCACACCCAGGGTGGAGCCCTGGAGGCACACCCGGTAGGGCTGGGACAAGAGCTTGCATGCTGCCAGCCATCAGGAGAAGGTGGGTACAGACAGCAGCAGGAGGTGGGACCTGGTACTGTCACCCCAGGACTTCCTGATCATCCTGCTGAGGCAGTCCTGGGCATGAGACCAGAGAATAGCTGGCATGGGCTTGGGAATTAGCCCCTCGCCTGCTACCTTGGCACCATCTGGGGCTGCCTGCACCTAGGGTAGCAGGGACACCTGGCATGCCCCTTGCCCCCTGCACACCCCTAAAGTGGCCCAAGCCCCCACACCTCACTTAGCCTCAGCTCTCCCTTCCTAATCTCAGGTCCTGATGCCTGAGGTCAGGTAAGGGGCAGTCCTCACTGGGTCACTCTAGCTGGACCTGCTCCAGAGGCTTCCTGCCGGAACCAGCAGTCCTTGGGCAGCTTGGGATGGTCAGCAGGGTCGGGTCAGGTTGGGGCAACTTCTGTTTTATTCCACAGCTACCAGGAAGGGTGGGGGTTGCTAGGCACTAGGATGCCCCTGGCTGCTGCTGTCCCACCCCTTCAGCCCTCTCCCTGACTAATTGGCCCCTGGGTCAGATCTGCCTTCTGAGGGTCCAGCTTCTTTATATATTCAGCAGATGGGACAGGCTGTTGCGGGCTTTTCTTCTCTCCCTAGGATATTATCCCCCTTAGCAGAGTCCCTCCTAACAACCCAGGAAGGCCAGACAGTGTCCTACCCTCCAATCCAGTCCCAGCCTAGTACTGTGGGACAAAGCTAATGGGTCTAGAGAGACCTGAGTTCCAGTTTTGGCTCTGTTTTCCCTTACTATGGGGTTCTCTCTTCCCTCAGTTTCTTCACCTGTAAAATGAGTAGATTGGAATGGATCTCAAAGGCTTGTTGAGAGAATTAAGTGGAATGCTGACTACAAGGCCCTTGACCCCACTGTGGGGACTTCATAAATGTCAGCCCAATGCCCCCTTTCATTCTCAACCCCTCTTCAAGGATCCCAGAAGCTGAGCCACCCCCACCCCCACTTCTGCCTCCTAATTCCCAAGGCCGATCTATCTCCACCTCTCCTTCTACCAGCATCTCTTCATTGCCCAGTAGCAGGCTAGCTGGTGGGAAACAGACAACCCCCTCCACGCTGGTCCAGTCCTCCACATCACTCTCGATTGACAACCTAACTCCGGAAGTTCAAGAACCCATGGGCCTAGCACTCCTACCCAGAAGACACGACACTTGGGCATCCAGGCCAAGGAGGAGCACACCCATGCCCATGTCACCCCAGAGGGCAGCTGGGTTGGTGCTTCTGAGCAGTGCCCAGAATGGCAGGGCAGCTGAGGGTGTGCCCCCTAGACAGATCCAACCTCTGCTCCTCCCCCATCAACCCATGGCTTCTCTACCCAAGTCATCAGAGTAGGGGTGCCCCCAACCACAGCAAGCCCCCAACCCCAGCAAGCCCACCATTGCCTGGCTCCTCCTCACACACAGGTTTATCTTTGCCCTCCTTGGGCCCATTCTGATCTACCCATGCCACCTCTTAGAATTCTGAGGAGTATAGAATTGCTGGCCATCAGCAGCTGTATGAAGCCATGCTCAGCTGAGATTGGGAAGGGGTAGAGAGGTATGAGAGTCTGTGGCAGGGATGTGGCAGGTCCATGTGACACATGGACCAGGCGTCTGGTTCCTTCCATGAGCTACTCTCCAAGGAGGCTCAGAGGAGTCAGTGATGTCCTGAGAGCAGCTGGTGAGGAGAGAGGCCTGCATTTGAATCCAGCCAGTCAGACTGGATGTCGGTGCTCCACCACCTCCCACAACTGCCTGTCTGCCCCACCTACCACCACTGTCATCCCTGCTGAGGCAGTTGCATTTGTCAGCTTCGTCTTTCTGCCACTCAGCTTGTCAGGCAGTTGCAATGAAACCTGTCACTTAGAGATGACTCCCAGCCCCCCTCCCAGAGATGTCTTCATGCCACCTCAGTTGTTGGCTGACTCATTCATTCAACAACCGCTCCTTAGGGCCTGCTCTGTGCTCGTCCTGTCCTGAGAACTCCAGACCCAGGCCCATCACCCTTGCCTTCAAATAGCTTCCAGTCTGGCAAGGCACAAAAGACATGGCCACAAACACCAGATCTGGGTAAGAGCCACGGGTCAGGGATAGAGAAAGCTTGAGGCAGACCTGGGAAGAAAGAACTAACTTTTCTACTCACTTGGTGCACTGTGGCATGGGAGATGTCCTGAAAGGCTGGAGGAGGGGATGCCATGGGGAAACACATAATGTGTGAACAGGGACAAAGCCCAAGGGGAGGCTCAGCCTAAAGCTGAAGACAGGTAGCTATCTTGCCCTGTCACTTTCATGGGGCCCAGCTAGTCTTCCCACCAGGGGACGCCTGCAAGGCAGAGCCCACTGTACCTCTGTCTGCATTCCTGGTGTCCAGCTCAGGGCTAGGGCTCAGCTCCACAGGGCTGGCTCATGCTGAAGGAGACAGTCACCAGGGTTCTCTGTGGGCATACCCAGAGAGGATCTCACGGCCTCATTTTCCCCAAGCTAGGATGAAATGAGAGTGCCCAGCGCAGAAGATGGTCAGTAAACTGACCCTCCCTTCAGGGCTGACCCTTTCAGAGGGAAGAGCTCAAGAGGCCCTTTACCCTATTGACCTTGTCTGCCTGTGCCCCAAGGGCTGAGGCCCTGGGCCTCCCAGCTCCTCCATTTCATCTCCTGTCCACCCAGGGAGGCAGCTTAGCAGAGGGGAGACCTCAGACTCCAGAGTCAGGCACACTTGAGTTCTTACTGCAACTTGACCACTTCTCAGCTGTGTAATTTCTTTGGTCCTACGTTTCCTCACGTCTAAAATGGGCTAATAACACCTGCTGCACAGATTCAGGGTGTGAGGATAGAGTAGGGTCATGGATGTGTGATGTCAGAGAGTGCCATCACAAAGCTGGAGCCCAGGATGGTGGGGCCACCCTTGCCTTAGTATTCTCAGATACCAGTGGCTCTGCCAGGGCCCATTTCCTAAGAAAAAAGTATGGCAAACTGAGGCCAACCATGGGTCAGGAGTGTCACTGGCCACCACCCTTCCTCATCCTTTCTTCCCCTTTTCTTCCATTCACTTACCACTTCTCCTCAGGCAGCGAGGGCGGGGCAAGGCCAGCCCTGCTCAGTACAACTTCCCCAGGCCCAGGAGCCTGGGCAGGTTGGAGCCCCTGCCAGCGGCATCAGCGTGAGGTCAGCGGAGTCCTTGGTTACTGAGTGCCTGCTGCCCTCGCACACTCATTCACCCGTCCCTGGGCCCCAGGAGGTCGGGAAGGCTGAGCCTTTTGCTAGCCAGGGGGAACCATGGCCCAGAGAAGGCAAGTTGCCTGCCTTGGAATGATGGAGCTGGAACTGGACTCCACGTGCACTCCTTCCCACCCCTGCGCCTCTGTGCCTAACTCATCTCAGCCCCAACTACGTGGATCAGCAGCAGTGAGGCAAGAGAGGCCCAGGAAGGTGAAAGGCAGGCTGCAGAGACAGGGCATTCAAAGATGGGGTATCCCTGGGGAGGGGGCTCTGATGGTGCTAGGGAGCACCAGGGGTGGGAGGGTGCTTTGTGGGAGGGGGTTCAGGTTGCTTCCCTGCTGCAAACCAGGCCTGCCCTCCAGGAGTTACTGAGGGGCCAGACATGGCTGAGTATAAGTGTGGTGGGCAGGGGGCGTTCAGGGCAACTGGTGTTTGAAGATAACTGATGTCAACAGGCAGAGACTGGAGAGCCATTCTGTGGGGGGCATCAGAAGCAGGTACCCAGCTTAGAAAGCAGCAAAGCAGGAAGCAGGAGTGTGAAGGGCTGTGGGAAAAATAGAAAAGTTTGATAGAATGTTGGGTGGAAGTGAGGGGGAGGGAAATGGAGAAGGCTGAAGGGGTTCAGTAGCCAGGCCCAGGTAGAAATTCAGGGGTAACGGGGCCTCTGCTCCACCTCTCAGGGCAGGGAGTGGGCCCAGGATAGGACCTGGGAGCTGGCCCTATCTAAACCAACAGTCAGTTCAATGTAATGTAAAGAAACAACACAACAGGGGTGTGGGCTGGCTTGCCCTCCCTAGGGCTCCTGGCCTGGCCCAGCAGCTGATGAGGTGGGGAGGCAGGTCTGAGCTGGGGAGAAGCCAAATCCCTAGTGAGAGGGCAAACCATGCAGCCCCCAAGGAGGGAGAGGGGACTTAAGAAGGTTCCCAGAGACCTGGGTGGAGGGCACCACCACTGTGGCTGGGTCCTGAGGCTGGGAACAGCCGCAGGGTGGCCTCGGTAGGCACATGCAGGACAAGTGGAATGGCCAGGAAGGGAAAGAGCAGTCTGGAGGGGGCTTCAACTCATTGTCTGTCCTACAGCTGCAGGAGGTGACTTGGTGAAGCCTTCAGCTGGGGGAGAGCAGAGGCAGGAGCGTGGTGACTGGGGCTGGCTGGATGGGCCTGTAGCCCATGGTGAGCAGGGAAACCCATTCCATGCCCAGCCATGCTCTGCACAAACTTCCTCTCATCCTCAGCAATGGCTCATATCCATGCTCCAGGTGGTAGGCTAGGAGACTAGGTTCAGGTCCAAGATTTGAATCTGGGTCTGAAAGACCCTGACATTTGTGCTCTTTCCTCTATGGCAAGGCTCACAAACTGAATGCAGAGCAGAGTGGACACTAATACTAATGCAACAATAATAGTACCATTCCTTGAACATTTACTATATGTCAGATAGTGTTCTGAGTTCTTATATATACATAACGTATTTTGTCACAGCAGCCCTTTGAAATCAGGACCATTATTTGCCCCATTTTTACAGAGGAAGAAATTGAGGCACAGAGAAGTAATATGCTGTCACACAGCACAGATTTTAACTCAGGCAGTCTGGAGCAGCACCTGCCCCCATAGGTCACATAAATCCATCAAACTGGCCTCAGAGATCTCTGAAGAGAGTGAGTCCCTTCTAGGAAAGGCACTGACTGCTCAATGCCAGCCAACGTTGCCATGCTGGAAAGAAGCTCAGGGTAGCTGGGCCATCATAGTCTTATAAGAGGAGGCAGAAAGGTCAGGTTTTATGTAAAACTCCTGATTGTTTAAATGTGGAAACCCCTTTAAAATTAAAAAGAAGAAAACATTCTGAGGATCAAGATATTAATATCTTACATATCTGCAGGCTAGCTCTGGCCCAAAGATGTGTAGCCTGATGCTTCCAGGTGAGAATGCTGAGCAGAGAGGGAAATCCCAGCCAGCAAGACAGGGAGAGCTTTCCTGGGGGAGATGTTTGAAGACTTGTTTCCAGTGGGGATGTAATGAAGGGGCAGATGGCAGAGGCTCCCTTACAGGGTCTAGTGAAAATGTAAGAGGTGAGAGGGAGAGAAGAAATGGGATTCAAGGACTGGTGTTGGGAAGAAAGACAGGATGTAGGGGTGCTGGTGCAGGTGCCCTGCCTTGGTGATGAGAGAGGTGGCTTCCACTTGGGACTGGCTGAGTTGGAAGGGCTTGTGGGACAGGTGGGCAGAGATGTTAGCAGGAAGGTGGCTGGGGAGATGTGGGAGGGAGAAAGGGCCCAGGACAGAGTCAGGGAGGGTTAGAGGCCACCTTGTGTGGGTAGGAGGTGACAAGGAAGCTGGTGGAGTTGCTAGGAAGGTAGGAAAACCAAGGGAAACCACTGCAAGAGTCATTTTGAAAGGAGAGTTTTTCTGTTTCACTAATGGTTGGGATTCCCAGAGAAGTCAGAGGTGTGTGTGGGGGTTGCAGAGAGAGGATGGAATTGGTCTCTACAGCAGTGTTAGTCATACTGTGTACCACGGACCAGCAGCATCAGTACTACCTGGGAGCTAGTCAGAAGCAGAGATCCGCAGGGCCATCTCACACCTGCTGAACCTCAATCTCTGGAGGTAGGCTCCTCCTGTTCATTCTCATGCACACTAAAGTTCAAGGACCACTGCTCTGTACTACAAAATAGCACCCTGTGCTCCACCCAAAGTGGGGTGGACCCATGGGAGATCCTAGGCCCCAGAGGAAACAGTTGCAATAAGGAGATCATCAGCTACAGGAACACCTTTCCTTCCTCAAAGATATCAGCAAACATTGATAGAGCATTTACCACAGCTCGCCACTGCTCCAGATGCTGGAAATGTCTTAAACTGATTTGATCCTCACAAAAGCCCCAGGAAGTAAGTTACTGTTATTATTATCATTTCCTGTTTACAGATGGAGACCAGCAACTTACCCAAAGTAACAGTTATTAAGTGACAGAGACAGGATTCAAAGTCTGTGCTGATACCCACCTTGCTGTATACCTGGGCTCACCCAGCATATGCTGAGGGAGGAGGGAACCAGGGACAATGGAAGGTATTTGGCATGATCCCCAGCACCCAGGGTTGGCACACGACAGAAAGGGAGCCCAGGCAGCCTGAGCAAACCTAAAGCAAGCAGTGACCTGGCTGGGAATAGCCCTCCAGGCAGAGGAGAGCACAGTGCCAGTGCTGGGGGCTGGGCCTGGAACTGTCCCTTGAGAATCCACCCTGAACTTTGCTCTGACTTTCTATCTTGGGTCTCTTGTAGGTTCTGGCTGTCTCAGATGGAGGTAAGTGACAGGTGGTGCGGACAAAGCCTGCTTGGGGAAGGGCGGGCGGAGGGATATGTGGAAACAGGGTGGGGACACCCCTGCCACTTGCCATCTTTCCAGGGAAATTACCTGCAGATGGGGCTGGGCCAGGGGCTGAGGAAGGCCACAAGGCTCACCTCCACTTGTCCATCCCCCTGCAGAGCTGAGCAGCACGGCAGGGTCCAAGGGCGAGTGCGAGGGCTGTGGCAGCTCCCTCAGCATCCACAGCCTCCCCAGTGGCCCCAGCAGCCCCTTCCCCACCGAGGAGCAGCCTGTGGCCAGCTGGGGCCTATCCTTCGAGCGGCTGCTGCAGGACCCACTGGGCCTGGCTTACTTCACTGTAAGCCCTGGAATGGGATATGGAGGGAGGATGGCAGTGGGGAGGGGCACGGGAGAGGGCATGGAGGAAGCTTCAGGCTGGCCTCTTGGCACTGTCTCTTTGACACATCTACTGATTGGGTCTCCTGTCTCTGACTGCCTACTCCTCCCCACTAGGAATTCCTGAAAAAGGAGTTCAGTGCAGAGAACGTGACTTTCTGGAAGGCCTGTGAGCGCTTCCAACAGATCCCGGCCAGCGACACCCAGCAGGTGGGGGGAAGGGGAAGCTGCGGCAAACAAGGTGGTATCAGAGTCTGGGCCATGTCCTTGACCTTCTCCTGTCCCTCCTGCCCCAGTTGGCTCAGGAGGCCCGCAACATCTACCAGGAATTCCTGTCCAGCCAGGCGTTGAGCCCGGTCAACATCGACCGCCAGGCCTGGCTCGGCGAGGAGGTGCTGGCCGAGCCCCGACCGGACATGTTCCGGGCACAGCAACTTCAGGTGAGCGATCCCAGAGGGCGCGGCCAGGGGCGGAGCCTGGGCGGCGAGGATTGGGTGGGAAGCGGGCAGATTTGGTTGACTGCCCAAGCTGATGCAGCTGCAGGGCGGGGTCAGAGGGCGGTACCAGAGGCTGCTGGGAAGGGTCTGTGGGCGGAGCCTACTGAGGTCCGGGCGGGACCGAGACTAGGGGCGGGCCCTGGGTCCCGGGGGCGGGGTGTGAGTTCAGCGACCTGGCCCTCTCGCTCACCGTTTCGGCCCACGTCCTTCAGATCTTCAACCTGATGAAGTTCGACAGCTATGCGCGCTTTGTCAAGTCCCCGCTGTATCGCGAGTGCCTCCTGGCGGAGGCGGAGGGGCGCCCTCTGAGAGAACCTGGCTCTTCGCGCCAAGGCAGCCCTGACGCCACGAGGAAGGTGCGGACCAGGGGCTGTGGGAGGCAGGGAGCGGGTGCGGATCTGCGGGGGTGCCCACGGTCTGCACGCGGGCTAGGGTCCGGCGCGGTACCAGCGCCTTCCCTGTACCCGCAGAAGCCGAAGCTGAAACCTGGGAAGTCGCTGCCGCTGGGCGTGGAGGAGTTGGGGCAGTTGCCGCCTGCTGAGGGCCCTGGGGGCCGCCCGCTCCGCAAGTCCTTCCGCAGGGGTGAGGCAGGAGCCAGAGGGAAGAGTGGGGGCTGGAGTTTGGACAGCCTCTGAGAACGCTCCCGTATTCCTCCTTGTCCCACAGACAGTCTGTAAGTCTGTGAAAACCAAAATGCAGTCCCTGTGACCATCACATTCCCCCAAGTGGTTCGGTTTCTGGGCTAGACTCCTGAAATTTGGAAAGCCCCCTGAGTTGCAACCCTTGCAGGGACCCTAGCCACATTAGACCCCTGCAGGGCCCACCGGGCTGGGGAGAGGCCTCCGCAGGGGCTGGGGGTCGGGAGGAGGGGATGTACAGCTCTCTGCTCCTTCTGTCCTAGAACTGGCAGTCGGGGTGACAAACCCTGGCTTGCGCCGAGAGTCCCAGGGCTCCCTCAACTCCTCTGCCAGTCTGGACCTCGGCTTCCTTGCCTTTGTCAGCAGCAAATCTGAGGTGAGCCAACTGCTGGGGAAGATGAGGCTCCTCTGTGCAGCTGTCATTTCCAGTCACCATCCCCACCTCCATCGCCCCACTCCAACCCCTCAGCCTCCTCACTTTCTTCCTGTCCTCACTATATTGAACTCCATGCATAGCATGGATGTGCATCCACTTCAGCTGATATATACACACATGGGGGTGCCCAGGTGTATACAGCAGGTGTGTGGGGATCATGAGTGGACCTGACTCTGAGTTCCCATGCGTCTGTGTGAGCATGCATGTGTTCCTGCAGGAGGAATATCTTTGCCGGCCTACAGGTGTGCCCTTGGGCATGTGTGTGTGTGTATGTGCATGCCCCAGGAAACTTATCTGTCTGCATGGCCCTCATGCGTATACATGACCTCCTCCCATTCCTGCCCTGACTCAGAGCCACCGGAAGAGTCTCGGGAGCACTGAAGGTGAGAGCGAAAGCCGTCCAGGCAAGTACTGCTGTGTGTACCTGCCTGATGGCACAGCCTCCCTGGCCCTGGCCCGACCCGGCCTCACCATCCGTGCCATGCTGGCAGGCATCTGTGAGAAACGAGGTCTCTCTCTACCTGACATCAAGGTCTACCTGGTGGGCAACGAGCAGGTGTGAACCTGGCCTGGTTCCCAGTTTTAACTCCCTTGCTGATCCTGACCCCAACCTCATTCTGTCTCTGCTCTGTCCTGACCCCAACCCCAATTCCATTCCTAAGTCCAACCCCATTCTCTTCCTAACTCCAGCCCCCACCAGCTCAACCCAGCACCAAGTCACTGACAGCCACTCTCATCCCACAAAAATCCTCACCCCAATCCATCTGCATGATGGTTTCCAGCTTCACCCTCACTCTGATGGTCTGGGGAGGTAGTGGGGGAAGCACTGCTGCTGAAGCTGGGTTTTTCCATCCCTCCCACAGTTCAGACTGGCCATCACTGAAATGACCATTTGGGGGAGGTGTTTTCACCTTCTCTGCCACCAGAGGCATTCACCTGCATCTAACCCATGAAAAACTCTCCTTTAGGTGCAAACTAGCATTAAGCTTTAAGGAGGAGTCTAGGGGAAAATTCACTTTAAATTAAATCATTCGGTAAAGGAAGAATGCTGCATTCCAACATTCCAGCAGGATTCCAGTCACCCAGTAGATAAGTCCTAAGGCCCTGCCAGGTGGGTGGCCAGAGGGACCCAGGCCTGAGCTGTGTCCTTCAGGTCCTCAGGCTGAAAGTGAGCCAGGCAGGAAATGACCAGGGAGGAGGAGCTGAAGCTCAAGAGAGTTTCTGGGGAAAGGTAGGCTTTTTTTTGCCTGATCCCAGGAGGGCTTCATGGAAAAGGCACAGTTGATGAGGATGGGAAGGAGTTTGCCTGGTGGAGCTGTGGGGGGAGATATTCCAGGCAGAGAGAACAGCTTAAGCTAAATCCTGAATATGGGATAGACATGCAGGCCAAGTTTAGGGGCCTGAAGCGTGGGAGTGGGAAGAACTCTGCCTACTCAGGCTGCCCAGGCAGCATCCACAGCCCAGAGGGCTTTCATGTCTGCTAAATATAGCTTCACCACCCACATCCCACCTGTCCTTGCAACATAGCCAAGGCCTAATGCCTGAGAGGCTGCCTCCCCACCCTGGGCTGGTGCAAGCTGTGGGGCCTCTGGGGGCAGTAATCACTACACCTGCTGTTTATGTACCTACTGTGTGCCAGGAACTGTGCCCCATACTTGACATTCTTCTAGCCTCACAGTGGTCTTGGGGGAAGGGCCTTTTTTGTAGTGAGGATATACGAAGTATCCAAAGTAGATGGGGATGGAGAGAATTAGACAAATGTCAAATAATGGACAAGGCCTGGGTGGCTGATCAAAGGTGAGTGTTGAGGGAGGAGATATATCCAGCTGGTCTGTTTGGTTTTCACATGCCTGAGAGACAAGCAGAGCAGCTGTCCAGGAGGCAGATCTCATCCTGGCCCAGGAAGAGGTGGCCCCATGACCCAGGACCCAAGACTGCCTCTTACCCAAGCAGCCCATTATCAATTTCCTGCCTACGCTACTCCCATGTTTCTCATAACCTTTTCCAAGTTTGTCCAGCGCTCTAACCAGCCTTCCGCCTGGCCTTGGCCACAGCAGGCACCAACTCCAGCCTGGTCTCTCACCCCCTCCACATCTCTACTGCTCACTCGCCCATCAGTCCTTCCCTCTGACCTGTAGGGAGCCGTAATGGCGATCATACGAGGCGGTGAAGGTGGCTGCCTCCGATCTGGGGATAGCTGGGCATGGGGGGAAGGGACTCTGAGACTCTGCTTGGCGTCTGCAGAAGGCCCTGGTCCTGGATCAGGACTGCATCGTGCTGGCAGATCAGGAAGTCCGGCTGGAGAACAGGATCACCTTTGAGTGAGTGCACTTACCCTCAGGTTTGGGTCCGGGGTCTCAACACTCAACTGTGCTTCAGTTTGGGGTGCTGTTCTCCCCCATCAGGTCCCGCCCCTTGTGCTAACTCCTCCCCCAAAGGGGTAAGGGCCCACCCCAAGTGCCCCACCTCTGCAGATCAGGTTCCGCCCCCTTTCGGGCCTATCCGGGAGAGGCTTGCGGAGAGGCTGGGCAGACTCTCAGACCTTCTGCAGTGCAAGCCTCCTGTGCAGGCTAGAGTTGGCGGCTCTGGAGCGCGTAGTGCGAATCTCGGCCAAGCCCACCAAGCGGCTGCAGGAAGCCCTGCAGCCCATCCTGGCGAAGCACGGCCTGAGCCCGCAACAGGTGGCGCTGCGCCGGGTGAGCCGCGGGACAGCGCAGCAGTGGTGCGGGAGCCGGGCGGAGCGGCGGGGAGCGGGCTGCCTGTTCCACGGGCTGCTGACCTGTCCCCACAGACAGGCGAGAAGCAGTCGTTAAATCTGGGGAACCTAGTGAGCTCGGTGGCGGCCCAGCGACTGGTTTTGGACACTCTCCCAGGTAGAGAATGAAGGCCCCAGGGATTGGTCCCGGGGACGTCTCTGACCCAGAAGTTAGGGGGTACAGGCGGGACCCAAACACTAAGTGGCGCTCTCTGCTGTAGGTGCAAAGTTCCTGGAAGCTGGCGAATTACCTGCCTGCCGCAGTCAGGTGAGTGAGAATAAGGGCACTTATTCAGTCAGGTGAGTGAGAATTCTGCCCTCTGTGCCTCCCTCCTCCTTATGGCTCTGACTCCATATTCTTGCAGGATGGCCCACCTAGGACCCAGGACAACGTTGCCCACCCCCCTCCACTGCCCCTCAACCTGCTGGCCGAAGTGCCCAGGAGTATCACTGGGAAGCGACAGACCTGTGATATTGAAGGTACACTGGGGATAGTGGGGGCTAGGAAACAGATTGGGGACCACTGAGGGTGAGTGGCATCAGAGAGGCTTGAGGTGGCATCAGGGACCTGGATGTCACTGGGGCTGGACAGGGTCCATTGGGATTGCCATACCAGAGGGCCTGGGATGGAGGATGGGAGGGGGTATTGGTGCTGGGACCAGGAAGGCTGTGGCCATAGTAAGGGCAGCAGGACTGTGGTGGGCTCGCCGAGGCAGATCTGCACTGGTGGGCCCCTTGACTCTGCGGCTACCCCCAGGCCTGGTGGAGCTGCTGAACCGGGTGCAGTGCAGCGGGGCCCATGACCAGAGGGGCCTTCTGCGCAAAGAGGACCTGGTGCTCCCAGAATTTCTGCAGCTGCCTGCTCCAGGGCCCAAATCCCAGGAGGCCCCACCACAGACTGAAACAAAGGGCCAGCCCAAAGGAGGCACCTCAGACTCCACTGCTGAGTCAGCCCTCTGACAGCTGCCCAGCAGTCCAGGCTGGCTGCATGGCACCTAGCGGGCCAAGCATGCCATGGGTCCGCTCTGCATGCCCTGTCTGTGCCATGAGTGTCTCTGGCCACTTCCTACCACGGGCAGGCCCACAGGAAGAGCCAGAAATGGGTGGAGAGGCAGCTTAGAGGAGTCACTCTACAGCTGCCACTACTTGGTCCCTCACAGACTCGCTCACCCATCTCTTTCTGCCAGGCTGCTGGGGAGAGGTGGGCCTAGCTGCCCAGGTGCAGGCATGCACAACACAGAGGGGTGGTGTTGGCAGTGCCAGCCTCCCCACCCTGTGCCAAGCCTCAGCAGGGAGTAGGAAGAGGGGCCGGCCCCTCCTCAGGGAACGAATATGAGTAGCCTTTGGGGTGCAGGCGGACAGCTTCTCCCTCTACCCACATAGGCTCTACTGGACACATGGATTTTGCAGTTGGCTTGGAGCAACTGGGTTTGTCCTGGATGTATGATATTGTTATTATAATAATTATTATTCTGCCATGAAGCGTGTTCCCTGTGTGTCAGTCTATCCTGTGCCCCCTCCCCAAAACCACACTGCCTCTGTCAGCAAGATCAGTGCCAGGAAGTTCTTGGGGACCTCAGGATGTGCCCCTGACTTCCTATTGTCAGAACCTGTCTTCCTGACTGCACAGAGTGTGGGAGTGTGAGTATGAGAGATACAGAAGCATCAAGAGAAGGAGGGAGGGGAGGGAGGGGAAGATCTCTCTGGGGAGTTGTGCACTGCCAGGTGCCATTGTGCTATCCCGCAGTCTCTGGATCTGAGTACAGTACGGTGTCTGTTACTGTCCTCTGCTTCTACTGGGACCAAGTGTGTCTCCGCAGCTATGGCTGTGGGCACCTTTGGATGCATCAAACACCTTCTGGAAGACACTGGTCATTGTGGTAGGGGTAGGTTCTGCTCCTTGCCTGCTTTGGCTCATGTCTTCCCTGTCCCCAGGCGGACAGGGAGGCCTGTCCACTCAGGGAGGGGAAGCATATAGGACCTCTCAGAAGAAGGGCTCCAGCCTGCAGGTAGAGAAGCCAGACTCAGTCCCAGTGCTGCTGCAACAGAGGAAATAAGAGAAGGCACTCGAGGAATGAGGGGACCCCGACACCTCAGACAGGTGGAGCCCTCTTCCCCACTTGCTGTGCTCTGCCAGAAACTTCCCCCACTGCCTCTATCCCACAACTGGCTCCTTAACTTGAAATTCCTGGGAGAGATCAGTGGGGTATACTGGCTCATCAATTTCTCCAGAAGTGGAACCCAAGTCTTCCTTGGGGGCCTTCAGCCCTCTGCCCCCTCAGCCTGCTTTGTTTGGCTGGTTGACCCCACACTATGAGTGCTGGGATGGGCTCATGACCCATCCTGGCCAATTAGAGTTCAGTTCAGGGTGATGCTGTGACCCCAGCTGGAATCCCAATCCTAGTCATTTTCTACTGTCTCCTGGGATCTTGGAAAGGATATGCAGGGAGAGAGCCCACATGTGAATGAAGCCAACACAGAAGAGCAGTGCTGAGAGATGGAGGGAGATTCCTGACAAAACTTACCTAAACACCTAAGTGCTTTTGTGCCTGAAGTCAACCATTCCTAGACTCTTGTTGGGCAAGCCCACGTATTCTTCAGCGTGCATGTGCCTGTGACTCTGAGTGGGGTTTCTGAGCCCTGCAACCACTAAAGTCCTGCTTCATTGAAGATCTTGTGGCTTAAACACCTCAGAGGAGCCTTCCCTAGTCACCTTATGCTACGGTCTAAATGTTTTCATCCCCACAGATTCATATATTGAAATTTCACCCCCTAAGGTGTTGGTATTAGGAGGCAGGGCCTTTGTAAGGTGACTAAGTCGTGAGGTGGGACCCTCATGAGTAGGGTTAGTGCTGTAAGAGGGACCCCAGAGATCTCCCTCACCTCTACCACTGTGAGGACACAATGAGAAGGCAGCTGGCTACAACCTGGAAGCCCCCAGCTGTGTTGGCATCCCAATCTTGGACTTCCAGCCCCCACAACTGTGAAAAATAAACTTCTGTTATTTAAAACCACCCCATCCTTGGTATTTTTGTTATAGCAGCCCAAATGGACTATGACACCTGATATGAAGGGCCACCCAACTTTGTTCTCTACCATTCTGTCCACTTTTCTTCCTTCACAGCACCCACACCCCCTCTGTAATGATCCGTTTTACTTATTTATTTACACTTGTTTGCTGACAATATGATGTATATGTTCTGTTGGCAAAGACATTGTCCATTGTAGTCACTGCTGTATCCATTTGGGTTAGTGGGCTGACAAATGATGTTACAGCCTCAGATAATCCCAGTGAAGGGGGCAAAGCTGGCAGGGTCCTGGGGGTCCTGGGCAGGGCACTGCAGAGTACCCAGGTCATGATTGGTGGCTGGAGATGGGATAGGAGACAAGCCCTGTGCCTTCTCTGATCATCTGCAGAACCTATCTCACACTTCCTGGGCCCTCGGGCTTCTCTCTTGTGGGAGAAGACACCTTCCATGCCCTAGGATAGACAGGTGGGGAAACCAAGTGAGAGATGGGTTATCTTCCCAAAGTTGGCAGATCCTGCAGGCCCAGACCACCCAGCACCCACTCCTGCCCTTCTGCAGACCACTCTACAGACTTAGGGACTCAGAAGTTTTTCCTATGAGAAAGGGGATCATGAGCCAGGTAGAGAGTTTCTATAGAGGTCAGACCCTGCTGGGGGAGGGATTTACATCTACTGAGATCCCCAGGTTAGGCATACTCCATCCTTTATCTCATTTTTGTCTTCACAATAAAACAGGCCTGCTGGGGATGAAACCAGGGCTAAAGGAAGGGAAGTGACTAGTCTAGGATCCTGCAAGGAACTGTTATTGAAGCTTGACTAGCACACAGGCTGTCTGACTCAGGGACACACACCAGGGAGAGCCGGGATGCTATGGAAACTCCTAGGGGAGCCAGGGCCCTCTCAGGGGAGGGTACATTGAAATGGGTATCTTCAGGGGCAGTTTTTAGGGGCATCTAAAAATTAAAAACACAGAGCTTGTGATGCCAAACAGTGCCACTAGAGGATGACTCACTCTTAAGCATAAGGATACGCATCCCTGCAGTTGTCTATGACCTGAAAACTGGCAAGCAGCCAGTGGTGGGTGGGGTGGGGTAACAACACATGCAGTTGAGTCTGGGCTCTGCGAGACTGCACAGCAGATAAAGAATTGGGTACAGCTTGTCCTGACGTGCAAAGTTCTCCAAGACATGTTATTGTTTGATAAAGCAGAGGAATGCATGTGGTATGATGCCTTTATATACACTACAAACACATAGACACTTAAGTGTACAGAAAGGAAAGGAAATGAATTGGAGGGATATGTGCAAAACTGACAGGGAGATGGTGGCAGGGGACCATGACTCGGGGTAGTGGCCAAAGGAGACTTTCACCTTAGCTTTAACTTTTTCAAAGGATGCAATTAAGTAGTTATAACAACACAAAGAATTTCTGAAAGCCACTTCTTTGTCACTGCTGATCCACTATCCCTTTCTCAGAAGTAGAACCCACCTCTTACGCTAGGAGCTTTAGCCCATGGTGACTGGCTGGGTGTGCCCCTCTGCCACAATCCCCTCTGTGAACCCCTCCCTCAACACATCCTCTGAAGCAGCCCTGGGCTGAGGGAGATGCAGTTCCCTTCTCCCAGTTTCTGCACTCCCCAAATTACTCAAGGCCCTGGGCTCTTACCATCCCAGCTGGGCCAGGCCTCATTGCAGTGTTGAGGGCCCAGACCCAGGGGTGAGGGACACCAGTTGGTCAACCCATGGGCTGTGTTTTAAAGCCACCATAAGGAGCTGGACTCCTGAGTGACTGGAAAGATAGTAGAGTTGCTTCCCCTCACCCACCAGGTGGGAAGCCTGGAGCTGGAGTCGGCCTGTCCACCCAACACTCAGCATGAAGGAGGGGAGGGAACACACATCTGTAATTGCTCTGCAGCCTCCAACACCCCCATCTTACAGAGGACACAGGCTGAGAGAACAGGGGTGACTTCCTCGAGGACACCCATGGGACCTAAGCCCATGAGCTCCAAGCTTCTGACAGAGACTCTTGCTGTCTCTTGTCCCCCACTTCCCTTGATAGCCTTGGGCTGGGGGAAGGGGATGGTATAGGAATGGTACAGGACCAGCACAGGGCACAGACTGACCTTGGCTCTGGGATAGGGTGGGGGCAGGTGGAGGCACTGGCTGCTCACCTGGAGCCTGGCTGCAAGTGCTGATGCAGCTATGGGCCCGTGCTCCCTCGGGCAGCCACCCCTACCCCCAAGAGGTAGAACAAGGTGCACCCCACAGGGGGCCTGGCCTGGTGGTCAGGTGACTCTGATTTCTGAGGGATTAGCTGGATTTCAGCTTCCACAGGGAAACAAAGTCTTGGAGAGGAACACACAAGGTTGTTTACATTGAATCAGATAAAGCCCAGGCTGGGCACAGGCCCATACAGACAGATTCCACAGGGGCATCATTCATGTCTGTGGTAGTCTTGGGGGTTCCAAGAAAAGCTGTGAGCATTAACCTTATATGTGTCCTGTGACTCCTGAAGGGTCTGTGCAAAGAGTGCTCTGTAACCAGCTCAGCTCCTGTGCCCAGGGAACTAGTCTGGGGATAGAGCAGAGGCAGAAAGCTGGGACAAGCATCACAGAACCAGCATCCAACCTCCAGGCCAGCCCAGGGTACCAGCTGCCAAAATCAAGTCCCAGCCAGCTATGAGGGGTGGGCAGGGATAACCCCACTGGCCAAGGAGACCACCATCTTCCTGCCTCATTGCTGAGTGGCTGAAGGAAGCAGAACCCAAACCTAAAACCCAAAGCATGGAATATGCAACTGGAGCTTGGAGCCTGGATCACAAAGCCTGGAAAGCCTGGAGCTCCCACCCAGGACTTGGAGCCACGAATCTGAAGTACAGAACGTAGAGTCTGGAATCAGAGCTTGGAGCTCAGAACCTAGAGCCCAGCACCTAGTCGCAGAGCCCCAAGCTTGATACATGATGCCTGAAACTGAAGTCAGGAGACTGGAGCTCAAATCCTAGAGCCCAGAACTTAGAGCTTGTACCTGAGAACCTGGAGTCCAGGGCCTGCAGTTCTCTGCTGCAGGCTAGAAACAAGAGCAGGGAGAACAGAAGCTGGAGACAAGTTCCAGGCCCAGAATATGGAGCACAGGACTTGAAGTCTAAAGACAGACCTCAGAGCTTCAGGTCTGGAATCTAAAAGTCAGAGCCTGGGACTGCAGTCTGGGAGCATGCTGTTCACAGCCTCATGCTCAGGTGTGTTCTCTGAGGCCAGCATGAAGGGCATAGGTCTGGAGCCACATGAGGAAAGGAGCTGCAGGGAAGGAGGTGATCTCTGAGAAAAGCCCAAAGCAACCTCAGCTCTTTTGGCCAAAGACTTTGGCTTCATCAGTCAATGAGTAACAAGTTCCTGGGCCACCATAATTAATCATTACAAAGGGCACTTACCCCCAAAACAGGGATGGGGCATCCTCAGATCAGCCATCCCTGCCCTGGGCCTGCAGGATCTAATGTAGCCTTGGGCTCCCAGTCTAGAAAATAGGACTCAGATGGGACAATGTCTCAGGGCCTTGCCTGCTTTGTGCCAGGAAGCTCAGATTGAAGTCCAGGCTCTCAAAGAGAAGACCAAGTGAAGTCAGGAGGGCCAGAGGAGGGATTGCACTGCTTCTCAGAGGCAGGTGCCTGGTGGCTCCTACTATGTCACCAGCCCACTGGTGAGAACAGCTGCCTTGACCACAGACCCAGGGAGGCTGTGCTCAGGAGTACAATGCAGTCAGCTTGTATCTGTGTGCCACCATGCTGGCCTGAGTGCTGGGATGGAATGTTCGCTGCCATGTTTGCAATGCACAGCACCATGCTGACTCAGAGTGGGGCTCATATGTTGGCTGAAAAAATAAACAGGTCGGTGAGAAGAGGCAGGAGTTCTTGAACTGTGCTGATGGGAACCCTGTTGTGGGATCACTCTGGTCATTACCTAGTTCCCCCCACAAAATCCAGTTCATGGACAGATGACCTAGAATGTTAGTTTTTCCTCCCTGCCGAAAACTCACAAGCAGCAAACTGTGTTTTTAAGGAGCAAATGGATCTTAGCCAGAATTGTAGAAACAGCTGGTTATGCCAACTTCCACAGCTTGCTCCGTTCCCAGACCACACACTTGTTCTTGGGATTGTTCTCTACTCCGTTCAGCAGTCGTGCCGCTCCTGAGGGAATCGTTTTCGTTGGTGTGACAAAATTCGGTCAGCCTGTGACACATTCACGTTGGCTGTGCTGCCTCTGCTCCCACCTCCTGCTCCTTCCCAAGCCCTTGCAAGCTGCCTCCTTCCCACAGCACTGCCCCAGGGCAGCTCTCCCAGGTCAGTGAATCTGCTGTTCTCACGGCCTGATGTTTCAGCAGCAACTGACCCAGCTGACCAGCGCATCTCTCTCAAAACATGGATGACCCCGGCTCCTAGGACATCGTTCTTTCTGCTCGCTCCCAATCCCTGTTGCTCCCATTTCCTTTGCTGGCCCTCTCCTGCCTCCTTCAAATGTGGGTGCTGCTCTGGGCTCAGCCCTGGGCCCCACCATCACAGGCACCGCCCGAGACCTACAGAGGCAGTGGGGGAGGCCAAGTCACCCTGGGCCCCAGGCTCTGACAAGACACTGGATTTTATGCCAGCAGGGGCAAGTTTTAAAAGGGAGAGGGAAGACATGATCAGAAAAGCTGGCTGACTACTTTTTTGGAGACTGGATTGGAGGGAGCAAGGACAGAAGCAGGGAGCGCATGTGGGAGACTGCTGTGATGACCCTGGTGAGAGGTGGCCACCTGGACCGGGGTGTACAGACAAAGGGTCAGGGGGCTCCTGGAGGAGGAGAACTGGGAGAAGTGGGTGCTGGATCAGAGACGAGGAGGTGGAGGGGAAGGACGTGTCCAAGATGCTGGCTCTGCTTCTGGCTCAGATCGAGGGATCACATGCTGCTCCCTGAGGCTGGAACGCGCTGGGGGCCCTGTTTGGGCAAAGGAGCAC